ATTCTATTGTAACTCGCTTTTGTAGGATTGTCCCTCATTGTAGGATTCTATCTCCTATCATTCCTTTCCTTCCGGTTTAACTCTGCTTTTTGGAACCGGATGTCTTCCACCCGTTTCAGAATTATCCACTCATTTTTGTTTTGTGTTTAAAGCTAAACTTGTTTATTCGCAAACTTAATCCAACAACGAATTTCTGAGCTTTTAACTGCGGACTTCATAATTTTCTTACTTTTTTTCTTAAAGAATGAAGAAACATAATCAATACTAGCCTTAGACATCTTCTAAATTAATTGTGAACATGTTCTCTTTGTGTACATCGTAAAACAAAACAAAAATAATTCGCGGATTTTCACAAAAAAATTCGTGGATTTTCAAAATTTTCAAAAATTTAATGACGATCGAATTTTGATGGAGACAAATATTTGAAATTTTGATCATTCATAAACCTTCCCTGGGGTCCCTAGATGTCCCACAAAAAATTTGGTCCCGATCGGTTCAGCCGTTTTGGCGTTTATTGGATACAAACAAACAGACAGACACCCAGACAGACAAGCCAAAGGAATTGAGTTGTTGTTACAAATTCTGATTTTCTAACCCCTATATCTTTGTGACCCGATGTCGTAGATCTTAGATTTTTCAAACTATGGTTTCTGTTTGATCAAATAGTTGTAGTTTGAAATATCACAGGTTTACACCATCAAATTGCAAAGATATAGGGATTAGAAAATTTGAATTTGTGGCTAAAACTCAATTCCTTTATATATAGATTGATCGAATTTTCTTATTTTTCTTCATTGATTATCTGTTTTGTTAAAAAAAAGGTAGATGTTTTTAACCCCGGACATATTTCATGAGTAACATTAGAAAATATGAGTTAAAAGTCGTCTTTTCAATTCCAACTTCATTGGAAAGGAATTGAGTCTTAGTCACAAACTCTGATTTTGTAATCCCTTTATCTTTGCAATCTAATTTCAAACGTTAAACTATATATGTTGAATCAAATAGTCTAAGTTTAAATTATCAAAGATTTACACCATCAGGTTCCAAGATATAGGGATTAGAAAATTCGAATTTGTGGCAAGTATTCAAATCCTGTATGTCTAGAGATGTCAACGATAGTGTAACGTAACGTAAAATGTACGTTTTGTACGTTACGTTACAATAATGTGTAACGTTTGGATATATTCTATATAACGTGAACGTTAAACGTTAACGTTATAGGAGCTCATACCTAACGTTAACGTTAAACGTTAACGTTAAACGTTAACGTTAGGGGAATATACACCCAACGTTAGCGTTTTGTGGAAATGTAACGTTATTTTTCTAATATCTACAACTTTTTTGACCATAACGTAAAGAAATGTTTTGTTTCCAAAGGGAGCTTGAAAGTCTAACGTTTGAAAAATGAATTGTGATTTGATTGAATATCGTAACGAAAGGATCTCTATTTCAAAGTTCAACTTATAAAAAGCGTAACGTTGTATAACTGAAAAATGCATTACTGTTTATGAAAACGTTTGAAACAAAGTTTTTTTACAGAGTAAAATTTCAATAATGTAACGTATAACATTTAAAAAAATGTAATTCTGTAAATCAAAACGTTTCATAACTTTTCTCTGAATACTAAATTGATTAGTGTAACGTTAGATATATGTCTGATGAAAATGTTTTTCATGAAAGGGTTGAGTTTTAATTTCAAAAGCGTAACAATAATTCTGTCAATCAAAACATTTCAAAACGTCTCTAATATATCAATGTAAGAGATTCGACTGATGATTATAAGAGCAAAGACTTATGGTTTTTCATTTAAAGTTTAAATAAAATGAGCTTATGCCAAAAACTCTAATTTTCATTTAATATATCTTTGCAACCCGATGTAGTAGACCATTAATATTGAAATATACAAGGTTTAAACCATCGGGTTAGAAAGATATAGGGATTAGTAAATTTGAAAAAAAAACCTAGTTCCTTTCTAAAGTGTAAACGAGTTTTTTGTAACATGCTATTAGTGAAAATTCAAATCTTATAAATGTTTCTTGGACATTAAAGGTTTTGATTTGCCATTGTTTGATGAAACCCACTAAAACTCTGGAAAAGGAATACGACATTAAGAATTTTACATATGCATTTTATGCTAAAAAGAAAATGATTTACTAATTGCAAAAAAATCAATTATTAAGTGGAACCGGTCATGTGAACAAACACAATTGCTGTGTTTCATGTTTATTTGACTACTTGAAATCATAATTTCAGTTGGCATGGTTCATTTTTTAGGTTGAAAAATTTAGAAATGTAGATACTTACTAAAATGCAACAATATTTTATTAAATGGAAAATGCGTGTTATGTTTTATTCATCAATTAATTTTCATGAAACTTTAGAATAGAAAAAAAACTGATTTTTTAATTGATTTTTTTAAAAAGAAAAAATGTTAAATAATTTTATTTCGCGTTGTTTGTGTTAAAATAAAATTTAGCACTTGTCTTACTATATTCGATATTTTCAACCCCAAACATGAACTCTGAAAACATTTTCATTGTGGTTTGTAAACTAAAGCTAATGCCGCTTTTTTACTAAACATGAAAATAAAAAATAAAATTTTTTTTGTGGCCTTACGGTGAAAACGCAGCGACTTCAAGTGGGCGGTTGGCTCTATTACAATATTGATCACCCCTACTGGACAATGGACATGCCACTACATAAATGGAAGGTCACTTGAAATTACGTCTCTAGTCCCTTTAAGACACACTTTGAGTTGAAAGTCTGATGCTAAAAACTTTCATTTACAAATTTTAAAAATCGTCAAACATAATAATATTATAACATCTTTATATTGCATAATGCATATTCTTCAGCACATTCTCTAAAAAGGTTAACAATACAACATACAGGGGGAGTAAAAATATGTGATTATCACTGAAAAAATCTTTCAATGCTTTCATTTAGAAACAATATTATTTTAATAAAGTGTAACGTTAGAAACATTAAGGCTTGAACATTTTAATACAACGCAACGTATAGAACATTTTTTCAAATCTTTCTTAGAAACGAAACGAATAAACAGTTTTGATTGTCAGTTGTAAAAAAGTTTTCACAATAACGTTTCGATAAATCATAACGTAAGAAAAAGTGCATTTTAGTAAAATTTCTAAATGTAATTAAAAGAGTTTATATTGGAAAAGTTAAGATAAAACGTAACGTTAACAAAAAATATTCTTTGCAATGAAATGCATTGTAACGCACAGAACTATGCCCCAATGACGTTTCATTAAAGCAAAACGTTTGTCATCTTTTAGATCTTAAACTAAGTGAAAGTGTAATGTAAGTTCTCTGAAAATATTTACCTTGCATGAAAGTGGAACGTTAAAAATTGTGGTTATATTACATAAGCTTTAACGCAACGTTTGGAAAGTTTTTTAAAACATCAAATGCAAAAGCGTAACGGAGCTTACTGTTTTTTCAATAACATTTACTAAAGCTTAACGTTGTATAAGGTATTTAAGTGCAGAAAAATCATTACGTAACGTTACTCTATACCATAAAATTTCATAATGTGCAACGTAACGTTTCAAACGTTAATACTTTTGATGAACTTTATCGTAACGAAAGCTAAAATCTAGAAAAATCAAAACGTTGACATCTCCAGTATGTGCAGACATGGTTGATGATAGTTCAAAGAACACTTTTCTTAATTTTAAAGTATCTTTATAATAAAAATATGAAAACTGCAGGGTTACTCACAAAGAATGAAACTGTGAAGACGACCATTTAAATTATGTCTTCTGCCTTTAATACTAGTATTTAATAGCTTATCAAAGGATTTGACAAAGAAAGTAAGAAGTATAAAGTTGCAGAGAATAATAAACATAAGGAAACAGACAGTTAAAGTTCGTACAGTCGTCCCGAAAATCCCATCCTTTCTGGATAACCCTGTAAATAGACAAACACTGAAATTTTAATCAAGTTCTCACACAGTTTAATCTTCTTGGATCCAGTATCTGAATTCATAATTTCAATTTGGTATAAATTATATCATTTCTCTACCGAAAGTAAAACTCATCCACTTAATTTGAAAAATATATCATAAACATTGCGTTGGGTAAAACATTTTAAATTCAAACCTTCTATAAAAATTATACAAAACATATTGATTTTTTCTTTTAATTAAGAATTGTCTGAGAAAGGGACACTCTGACCGGCATGAGCCTAGCTGTGATTTACAGAAACGAGCCTTCAAAGGAATTCAGTCTTTGCCACAAATTATAATTTTCTAATTCGTATATCTTTGCAACATTATGTCGTAAACCTTAGATATTTCAAACCATGATTTCTAATAGATCAAGTAGTCAAGTTTGAAATATCATAGGTTTACAACACCAGGTTGCAAAAATATAGGGATAAGCAATTTGAATTTGTAAAATAAACTCATTTTCTTTGACAAACATTAAAATCGACTATCAAGTCTCCGCTATGTTTAGTAAAATTTAAACTCTTGTATTTTCTGTGTAATATAAAGATATAATATTGTTTGATATTTGAATTTTCAAAATTATTTTTTTAATGTCATGATTAGTAACTTAAAAAGACTCAATTGTGGTTCATGAATTTCATTTTAACACTAAACTGAAAACAAATTCTTTCCTATTAAAGTAAGAAATATATCTAGAGAAAATTTTATTAAGTGAAGACAGATTGTGTTCTTTGGAAATGTTTTTAAAAAAAATTTAGATAAACCATCAAAACTTCTATTTTCTAAAAATAGAAGTATAAAGCTTAAATCAAAGACTGAGCATAAGTAATTCAATTCAATATTATTTCTTTAGGGTGAAACTATAAAACATCTTTTTAGTCATAATTAGGCACCTTCCATAAACCATGCCAAACTTTGACCCGAACAGAAAATATATGCAGAAAATATATGCAGAAAATATATGCAGAAAAACGAAGCAAAAAATTATCCAAAAGCTATAATTAAAAACCAAAATGATTGACAACACTACCTGATCCATGGAATGATTTTCTATCAAGGTTCCCCTCCTCTGCCCCCTCCTCCTCCTCCTCCTCAGGACCCTCTCCTCCTCCAACCCTCTCATCCTTACTGATCTCACTCTCAATATCTAAACAAGTTATTTGTTGACCAATCACCAACATTACGACCTAAAATTTAGCATTTAAAGGAGTTTAAAGCGTAATTTAAACTTACTCCACCTACAACGATGGTAATGCCCGATTTACAAGGGTACCCATAGATTCTTAATCTGATTAAAGATGTGGAATTGATACCGTCGTTTTCCTAACTCGAAAGTGTTGAATTAAAGGGAGTTTTCGCGAAAAATGAAAGGAGGTATAGGCTTACTAATCTTACTTCCATCTGTTGCGTCTATAATAAGAAAATTGATAAAAACGACTCATGCTAAAGAACGTGGCGTCCATACAAATTCAGAAAGTTGCAACATTAAACTCGGATCTTAAAATAATAAATTTATTTCCAAATAAATCCTTTAGATATTTCAAACAATTCCTTTGTAAGTTTTTGTCATTACTTCAAATGAACATCAACCTTTTTCAGGTGTGTGTTTTACTTAATTCATAAGTGTACTTTTAAAAAATAATCGTTTGGGTTTTGTTTTTAAAAGAAGCAATTCAGTAAAAGCTGTTAAGTCTTTGTTATTGATGGTTTAGTGTGAACCATTTTAATTCAGTAAAAGCTGTTAAATCTTTGTTATTGATGGTTTAGTGTGAACCATTTTAATTCAGTAAAAGCTGTTAAATTTTTGTTATTGATGGTTTAGTGTGAACCATTTTAATTGTGAAAAAATTAGCATTTGCACTTTAAATACTATTCTGGTAACATATTGATCAGATATCTTTTATAGGAATAATTTCAAATATATCAAAAGAAGGTATCCGGCGATTAAAAGTAAATTCAAGGTTAAAATAACATTGACATTTAAAAACATAATTATCATATTCGTATATAGCAAAGTTTGTCTCTTTTGATGTCCGATCATAACTCAGGAACCCCCTGACCGATTTGCTTCAAATCTTGATCGGAAAACTCAATAGAACGACAAAAATATTCTTATCTTTCTATCAAAATTCTAAGTTGTGTGGGTTGTTGTTAGTAGGGAAGGTTTAGTTTCCAAGCTGAATAATATAAAATGGTTTCAATAATCTATTTTTCCATGTTTATTGAAAGGTTATAATGCAAGGAAAGTTAATAGCAGTTGCGTATACTCTGTGTACATATTGAAACCAGTTCTCTCTGGGCGGAATGTGTAAACAAGAATAGATTGCATCAGTGTTCGTTTAGTATCCGAGGAGGATAAAAGCATTGAATTTTGAAAATTTTGATAATTCACATAATAGTTTCCTATGACCAGAATATTTCATTGATTCTTTATGTGAGAGATGGATCCAATGTCAGCTTCTTCTACATTCGTCTTGTGTTTACATTACCGCCCAGAGGCAGTACACTGCAGTACAAAAGATGCGTAAACCTCTGAAATAACTTTCCTTGCATTATAACCTTGGTTTATTGGAGTTCTTTTAAATTATCATTTTACAAACGTTTGCTTGTTGTTAAGATCTTTGTAACATTGTCGGTAACATTTAAAAATAAAAAAACATGCCTACTGGATGCATAGTGTCCGATAACACAGATTTTATGGTTACGCGTAAACTGACATAGTGGTGGTATTTTATATTTATGTTGAGATCTGTACCAGAACAATCCAGGCATAACAATAATTAAACCAGATTTTTAGATTCTACAAGATTGTTCAAAACTATATTTTTTCAAATAAAATAAAATAAAATTGAATAGATAATTATATTTATAACTTAATATTAAAATTAAAAATTTCTTATCATTTTTTAAAAAAATTTTCCGTAATTTAATAAATGATTTAAAAATCAATGTCATTCACTTACAGGATTGCCTGGCTTTACCCAGCTGCACATAATGTTTTTTTTTCATTCATTGTCATCCGTGATTCCTGGGTTTTACATTCCTCCATCCTACTCTTTCCTAATCCATGATTATCCATTCCTCATCCCCACTCATCTCTTATCACTGATTATACATTCCTCCCACCCACTCATCCATTATCCCAGATTATACATTCCACCCACCTTCTCATCTCTCATCCCTGATTGTACATTCTTCCCACCTACTCATCCTTCATCCCTGATTATACATGCCTCCTCATCCTTCATTACTAATCCCACTCATGCCTCCTCATCCTTCATTACAAATCCCACTCATGCCTCCTCATCCTTCATTACTAATCCCACTCATGCCTCCTCATCCTTCATTACTAATCCCTACTCATAACTCCTCAGACTTCATCACTAATCCCACTCATGCCTCCTCATCCTTCATTACTATTCTCTTCTCATGTCTCCTCATCCTTCATTACTAATCCCACTCATGCCTCCTCATCCTTCATTACAAATCCCACTAATAACTCCTCATCCTTCTTTGCTTTTCCCTAGTCATGCCTTCTCATCCTTCATTATTAATCCCACTAATAACTCCTCATCCTTCTTTGCTTTTCCCTACTCATGCTTCCTCATCCTTCATTACTAATCCCACTTCTCATCCTTCATTACTAATGACACCATCGAAACTAGAAATGCGCTAAAATTAAAAACCCGTTTTTCAAAAGTTTAAGTGGGTATTAAACATGACACGCTGATTGGTTGAATTTTAAACTTATTTCTTGGATATTGAATGCGAATTAACCTAATCTCGAGTTTAGTAAAACCAAGCATTGAATTCGATATCCACCATTCTAAAGTTTTCAGCTCAGCATTCTTTATTTTAATATTTCTTTTGAATTTTCATCTACTCTAGTGTATTTATCTTACATCATGTTTAACCATGAAATTTCTCTAAACCTCAGCTGCTTTATTCTGACCTGAACCGGAAATTAATTTTTTTCTATTTATTCTAGGTTTTGAAGAATAAAGAAAATACGTTTTCATATTATCAATCAATCACTATGCTGCTTCCCTATTCTTCTCTATTCTTTTTTCTCAGGATAAAATGATGAGGAAATATGAAATAATTGTTTAATTTCACAAAGCTTTTAATGTGAGAATAAAAAAAACATTTTATATGTAATTTTACACTTGTGTATATTTAATAATGTTTATCGTTTATTAGTGCTTGTATTATATAATTAACATTCTTTAAATAATATGTTTCATGATTACATTTCTCTGCAATATGTTATTTTTCTATAAAATATGTTATTTTCAATGGAGAATACAGTAATACATAGATATTCTTTCTTGGGAACCCAGCTTTGCCTCGAAACTAAGTTTTCCATATAAAAGTCAACCTACTGCCATCAATTTGTTCAAACCAAAACCAGATTCTCTATAATTCCTATATCTTTGCAACGTAATGTCGTAGACCTTTGATATTTCAAACTATACGCTCTGTTAGAAAAAATAAAGTAAGTTTTAAATATTAATGCCTTTCGCCATCAGGTTGCAAAAGTATAAGGGTTAGAAAGTTTAAGTTTGCGACAAAAATTCAATTCTTTTGCGTGATTGGTTTCTGCTGAATAATTCCACAATTCACTTTTATACAGAACCGCACTTGAACAGTACTTGAACCGCATTTTAACCGCACTTGAAAGTTATCAATTTCGTTAACTTTTGCTCATTTAAAGGATTAAAGGTTACCATTGTAAATATGACATGTACATTATTATCTTTCAGATTTGAACTATTTATCTCTTCTCTAAACCATTAGATATTCTCTGTTTATTCATCCTAGAAAATATCTCAAATTAGAAACTGAACTAGAATAAATTATTCCCAAATCTTCAGAATCTAGAATATTATCCTAAACCTTTAAAGGGTCTGTAAACATAATTTCAAGTTTGTAAACTTGACAATGTATTTATCGCTCTTCATGTTAAATTATGAATTTAATCCAAATTATCGTAGAAATTCAAAAATTTTCAAAACCCATGAGTTCCCTGAAAAATTTCAGCTAAACATATATATATATGTATTAAGCGAAGAACATTATAATATATTAGCTGAAAAAAAATTTAAAAAAATGTATTTATCTAGCCTATGTCACCCCCAGGCTACCCATGAGTGTCCACAAAAAATGTCAGCCCATTCGGTTTAGCCGTTTGGCCGGCTGTAGGGAACATATATACGAATGTCTTGTTTTACTATATATATTAGCTGAAGTACCCGGCGTTTTCCATGTAATTAGATTATTAATATTCATAGCCATAGTGCCAACCAGAGGCGTATTCAGGGGGGGGCTATGGGGGCTAAGCCTCCCCTGGACCAATGAAATCTATTGATTTCATGGGGTTTGCAGGTCCCAACGGGTGCTGAGCCCCCCCCCCTGGAAAAATTCCTGAATACGCCCCTAGTGCCAACGTTTACCAACGCTTTATGTTAAATCATGATTTTTACTGAAGTAGTTGTATATATAGTAATACAAAATTTTCTTAAAAAATTAAATGTAACTCCTGGGGTACCCATATTTACTTATCCGCCGTTTACCCGCACTTGAACAATTTCACCGGGAAACTAAATTTTCGCTATTAAAGTCGACCCACTCAACTCAGAACCTTAAAACCAAACTATGAACATTCCTTTGGGTCTCCCGACTTCCCAAATCAAAATTTGAAACAAATCGGTCCAGGCGTTCCTGAGTTTTCTTTTTTTTGTTTGATATTATTCGTTTTATAGATTTATTGTTTAAAATTCTGTTTGTGTTTTTTTTAGATCTGTAATATTTTAGGAACCAACTCCTTATTTAAATCTAATAAGAGAGAGAAGGGTTGGGATTGGTTTAAAAACTATCTAAGGTTGGTACTTCATTACAAAAGATTGTCTTTCATGTAAACTTTGTTATTAAATACTAAAAATCAAAAGTCGTCTTTCAAATTTTATTGAAACACCTTTTAGAATTCTAGATTCCTAGAAATACTGTAATAAACGTTATGGTGCGGAACTTATGTCAATTTTTTGCAAACAAAAACAGCTTTTTCCATTTATATTTCGATACTTTTGGCCATTTTTAATTTCCTGCCATTATTTTTAAACTTTACACCCTAGGATTTGCACAAATTGTTTGTTTAAATGTTCTGGATTTATCTCTAAAAAATACATCAAGATTCAAA